TCCAGAAAGTATAGTAGTGACCTATAACAAGTGGCATAGTTAGCAAGACAGTTAGGAGTTGTTAATGAGATGAACGGCTGAAGCCTGGAATGGAAAAGTGAGGTGGTCAATGTAAGAGAAGTTCAAAAATGTAAAATATTAAGACTGTAAAAGTAGACCAGGCACTGTGCCTTCACCACCTGTAAATCCCAGTATTTTGGGAAGGCAAAAAAGAAACAAGTGGGTGGATCACTTGAGGTCGGAGTCAAGATCCCACCCTGGCCACATGGTGAGAACCCCATCTCCTCTAAAAAACAAAAAACTGACTGGTGTGGTGGCTCACGCCTGTAACCCAGCAGTTTGGGAGGCCAAGGCGCTCCGATCACGAGGTCGAGAGTTTCGGACCAGCCTGGCCCGCCAACATGGTGAAAACCCCGTCTCTATGTAAAAAATACAAAAAAGCTGGGTGTGGTGGCAGGCACCTATAATCCCAGCAACTTGGGAGAACCTGGAGGCCCAAGGAGAGTCCGCTGAAGATCAGAAAACGGCAGGTTGCGGTGAGTCGAGCTGATTATGTGCCACTGCACCTCCCAGCCTGGGCCCATCTCGGGATAAAAAAAAAAAAACTACCAGGTATGGTGGCAGGCCACCTGTAATCCCAGCTACCCAGGAGGCTGAGGCAGGAGAATGTGCTGAACCCAGGAGAAGGAGGTTGCAATGGATCGAGATCACGTCACTTGCACTCAGCCTGGGTGACAAGAACGAAACTCCATCAAAAAAAAAAAAAGACTGTAAAATTAGAGCTACAGTAGAGACAAAGATGGCTTCCCTGTCTATCTCTGGTGGCTGAAATAACCATACAGCTTACTTTTGAGATCAAGCCAAACATGACTAATTCTTCATGTATATGTACTTTCATAAGTCACTTGGGTTGTCTTAACCAAAACCAGTTCAGATCTTGGAGCATTTTGGATTTCAGATTTTCAAATTAGAGGTACTCAACTTGTAGTTATAATAAAACCTTAAATGTCCATAAAACACAGCCTGTAAGGATTTGGCTCTCATCTGCCCATCATCATCTTCTCGTATCACTTTCCTTCTCACTCAAAACCCTTAAACACTGCTTTCTTCAATTCTACAAAATGTTACAGATATTGGCCTCCTCAGGGTGTCATATATGATGCTCTTTCTCCCTAAAATTTTCGATTTTTCCCCCCACTCGTCATCTATTTATCTTTCAGGTTAACTTAAATATCATGTTAGCAAACAACTTCTGTGACTCTCTCCTCCCCCAATTTAAGTTAGGTCCCATGGTTATTTTCCATACCCTATTTATGATTACGTATTTAAGGCTACATGTTTGTCTATCTCCTCTTCTAGAGCAAGTTAGGGCACCGACTTTGTCTTTTTGGTTCCTCAGTATATATCCAGTTCCTAGCACAGTGTACAGTGGTGTACAGTAAGTGCCCAAACATGATCAAATATTGAATGAATCACTCAATGCACAGGAAGGAGAGCAGGTTTGAGGAGAGAAAAGTTTCAGGTTTGGATTTTTAAATCCGAAGTGTCTATACAATATCCAAGAGGAAATGTTAAGCAAATACACATAATTAACTGGATTTCAGGAGAAAGATATGGGACAGGGTGATTGATATGAGGGTAAACAAGTATATGGTAACTGAAGTTATTCACACGAATGAGAATATAAAGAAAGAATACATTTTACAACAGAAAAAAAAGAAAGGCTAAGACTAAGAAAGAACTATCAAATTCATAGCAGGGAAATAAGAAGCAGCCAAACCACAGTGTGTGATACTATGGCAAAGGTGATTTCAAACAGAGTTAAAAAGTGTTGAATATACTGGGCACAGTGGCTCATGCCTGTAGTCCAAAGCTTTGGGAAGCCAAGGTGGGAAAATCACTTGAGCCCAGGAGTTTGAGGCTTCAGTGAGCTATGATTGTGCCACTGCACTCCAGCCTGGGTGACACAGTGAGACACTATCTCAAAAAATAAAAATAAAAATAAAATAGTTCACATACTACAAAAAGATAAGGTTCAATAAGTAAAAGGAAAAATAGCAGGGTCCTATGGAGAAGAAAGAAGTAGAAATCTCAGTGATGTCCAGTCAAGGTGTGGTGGGAACCGTGGAATAAGGAAGCTCAGCTGATTGAAGGCTGACATCACGCATAACATTAGAGATGTGACTCCCCCAACTCTTGAACCTACCAAAGTATCATATTGTATGTCTGTGTTTATGCATGTGTGCATAAACTATAAATAGGTTCCATTTAAAACAGCACTTGATTTATAAGTGTTCTGAGCACATTTAAGGTAGGGTAGGCTAAGCTACGATATTCAGGTTAGGTAGATTAAATGCATTTTCAATTTACAGGACTTTCAATTTACAATGGGTTTATGAGGAGGTAACCCCATTGTTAAGTCCAAGAGCATCTGTATATTAAATAAGGTGTTTTTAAAAAGAAACACACATAAAATAAGTTATAGACTGAGAGGCTGACAAAAATGTTATGACCAGAGGCCCACAGGAACTTAACTCTGAATTTCCCCTAGTTCAGTATTCATTAATACAGTGTTCACAGTGCCTTTATAGAACAAAACTACTCCAAACAAGAACAAACTGTACCTTGAATGTGACACCTTTATGAGTGTAAAATTAATGAGACAGGGCAACAGAGTTCATTCATCAAAATAAGTTACCATTTTCCAACATACAGTATTATTGCATAAGAGTACTCAGTAACTTGAGTGTCAAACAGTTCAGAACACTAAGTGCTAAAGTTCTATGGAAAAGATTCCTATAGCTCAATATTCTTCCCCAGCTAGGAGGGTAAAGCTGTCTTTTGCCATAATTTGGAGCACATGAAGGCAGGCATCAGAAGTCGAAATACAAAGCCACCAGAGTTAGAGAAGGAAAAAGTAAGTTCAAAATTGGCAGCAAAAGCAAGGTCTCACTGAATACAAGAAATCAGAAGATTGAGCCTGTGTCCCAATGGGAGTTCACGTAAGGGGCCTAGGAGCAGGTTTGCAACCAGTGAACAGTGAAGGTAGATCTTAAGAAACTGCTAAGATTTTGATTAGCCACTGTGCTCACACCTTTACATTTCAGGGGTATCACCAACCTTTTTCATGCTCTCACTCTGAAAAATTATTTTATCCAATTGTGATGGTTAATTTTGCGTCAATTTGGCTAGGCCACAGCTCCCAGGTATCTGGTCAAATACTATTTAGGTGTTTCTGTGAAGATTGTAAGAGATTAACATTTAAATCTGTAGGCCTTGAGTAAAGAAGATAGTACTTCAAAGTGTAGGTGGACCTCATCCAATCAGTCAGAGGCTTTAAAGACTGGCTTTAGCAAAAAGGGAATTCTGACGGAAGACTGTCCTCAGACTGGGACTCCAACTCCTTCCTGTGTCTTCCTGCCTACCAGCCTGTCCTGCAGATTTCTGACCTGCCAGCTTCCACAACCATAAGCCAATTCCTTAAAATAAACCAATCTCTCTCTCTCCATATATAAATGTGTATATATACACATCCTATTTTTTCTGTTTCTATGGAGAACATCGACTAATACATCAATATAAAATTTGAGATAGAGATGTAAAAATACTAAAGTAACAACACATTAGCCCTCTAAGACCTGTAAGCTAAACAAGGAAGGAGTCTATTTGGGGTATACTGACCTCACACAATAACTGGCACATCACAGGAATTCAGTATTTGTTGAATGAATGAATATTAGCAACCTTGTATATCCTCAAACAATAACTTCTATTTATTGACTATTGTTTCAGGTACTATGTTGAGAGGTACTTTACCTTTCTTTCTTCAATGTTTTATTCCCACAACATCCCTTCAAGACAGCAATTTTAAGTCCCCATTACAGAGATAAGAAAACCAAGGCTCAGAGTTGAACTATGTTGCCCATGATAACAGCATAATCAACAGCTAAGACAGTTCAAAGATGTGTATGATTCTTCAAACCTCACAGAAGACTAAGAGAACATAAAATAGGAGATGTACCGACTCTTCACCTTCTGAAGTGTAGTCATTTAAAGAGGCAAAGATAAGAAATGGTTGTACTTCTTACAGCAAATTGTGAAGTATGGCATGGCAGTACTAACAGAAAATAAAAACCATTTAGCTAAACTTATCTTACCTCACAGCTCCACATCTAATCTTTTAAGGGTGATGTCACTAGATATATTCACTCCCATACAGTAACGCTTAATGTCACTCCTTAAGTCACTAAGTCTGACTTTTCACAGCAGTTCTCAGTAAATTTTCATCAGCTTTCACGATGTTTAGGAAATAATATGCACACATATTACCAAGCACAAATAAATGTTTTATTTAACACTTAAGCAGAACATTTTTCACTATACATCTATATAATGCACAGTACTAAAAAAGTGCAAAATATTCATCATAAACAAGAGGAAAGTGAATACCACAATGGTTGCATCACTCAACTAGGTAATCTTGCTCTCGTTAACAAAAACACAGCTTTTTCTGAAAGTTTTTTGGACGTTAACAGCTGTTCAACATCTTCTTCCATCTAATTCTTTCTGAACTGCTTCAGGTTGCCTAGCACGTACGCAGCTGGTGTTAAGAAGGTCGTAAAAAACACGACAAGTCCAACAGCCATTTCCTGGAAGAGAAGATGAAATGCGCTGCTGAGTATGGCTTCCTGGACCAGTGACTTGCCGCCTAACAAAAAGTACTTTAAAAAACATTTTGATCAACTAGACCGTTGTCCTAGAAACAGGAAATCTAAAATGCTGAAATCTAAAATGCTGAAAATCGATTCATGGATCACCTGATTTTTTTTTCAATGGTTCTCCGGTTCCAACCTTCGCACTGTGGAATTTCGATGCGGCCCAGGATTTCCACCATTTTATCAAAAATGTTAAATCTTGGCAGTGCCGAGGACGTCCGAGGATGGTAAACCGTTCCTCCGCGAAACCATAGCCCCGCCCCCGAGCCAGGTGCCGGTAAAGGGTAACAACCAAGGAGGCCCAATCCCCGCGCGGCCCTCAGGGTCCCGAGCTTTCCGCCCCTGCGCCTGACGACAGCATCCTCACTGCGACCCTCTCCCAGGAACCTCCCCCAACGGCGGCCAAGCCACAGGAGCCTCCCACGCGAGGCCCGCAAGCCCTGTCCTCCCTTCTTCCCACCCGTCGGGGCGCCCTGCCTGGGCCACGCGCTTCCCGCCCGCCCTGTCCGCGCCGCCATGATGGCTGGGTCTCAACTCACGGCGGCAGAAAGGGGCCGCTGGCGCGCGGGCTCAGAGTGGGCGAAGCGGGGAGCCGGCTGCAGGCCAAGCAGGGCCACGTCGCGGTAGTGGCGGCGGACAGGACAGCGCCCACGCAGGAGAGGCATGTCGCTTCAGGTAAGACAAACTCAGGCGAAGACAGCACAAGTCAGGTGCTGCCAAGTAGCGCGAGTTCCAGTGAGCGTGAGGCAGCTGGTTTGCGCAGGCGCCCCAGCCACGAGGGGGCGCTCTGCCTTCGCCCCTACCCCGCCCCTTCCGCCCAGCACCCCCTGCTCTGCCCCACCTCTTCCGCTCACCACTCTTTGTGCTGCACTGCTTTTTCCAGTCAGCACTCTGTGGTCTGCCACACCTCTTCTGCTCAGCACCCCCTGTTCTACCCCACTTTTTCTGCCCAGCACCCCCTGCTCTGCCCCACCCCTTCTGCTCAGCACCACTTGCTCTGCACCGCCCCTTCCACCCTGCAACCCCTGCTCTGCTCTACTCTCTCCGTTCAGCACACCCTGCTCTGCCCCGCCTTTTCCACTCAGCGCCCCCTGCAACCTCCCAGCCCTCATTCACCTCACTTTCCACCCACGTGTCCTATCCTCTCCTAAACTCACCTGCCACCCTCCCCTGGGCCCCAACCCCACCTCACACTAAGTATCTCTTTTCTGCTGGGTAAGCTGAGGGACTTGGCACCCCTACTCCTTCCCTTTGTCTTCCTCTCTACCTATACTTTATATACCTCTTAAAATGCCCTGGCATTGGCAGAGTTTATAGCACACTGTTCTCTAATGCAAATTAAATCTTCCATAAATTGTCTGTAGGTTAATTCTTAACACTGAAAACCAAGAACAAATTTCTGCAGTCTGCTGATGATATAAAAAATATTCATGGCAGGGTCAAATGAGTGTTTGGACCTGGTAGAAAAGGTGATGTAATTATCTGTCACTAAGGCTAATTTTCTTATTCTTTGGTAGAGACGGGTCTCACTGTGTCACCCAGGCTGATGTCAAACTCGTGGGCTCAAGCTATGCTCTTGTCTCAGCCTCCCAAAGTACTGGGATTACAGGCATGATGCACTGTGCCCAGACTCTCTTGAGGGAAAAGTAAATATACTGTGATTTTTAAATTTAGTACTGTAATAAAACTTTATCCACTACAATGATTCTGTGTCTTCACATTATTCCTTTTGGGGGCCTATTGCGCAAGTAACACTCTAGGGTTTCTTTGAATTGCTGTGTTTCTGCAGCTGGTATCTTCCGCTTCCTTAGATTTCTTTTCATTTTGCTGTAGTACATCCTTAAGCAGTTCTTTCAGGAAGGGTTTGTAGGTGATAAAGTTCCTCAGTCCTTGGAAATCAAAATATATATATTTTGATTTCCATTTAAATGCTAATTTGAATGGTTGTAGAACTCTGGGCTCAAAATCATTGTCCTTCAGAGATTTTCAAAAGGCATTGTTCCTTTCTTTTCCAGCACCTAGTGAGCTGATAAGAAATAAAATGCCAATATAGTTGTCATTCCTTGGAGTGCCCTCTTTTTCCTTTTGGGAATCTTTTAAGCATTCCTTTTTGTCCTTGGAATTGTGAAGTTCCTCCAGGATACTGTTAGATATGGGTATTTTTCCATTCATATGGATTAGCAGTGGGTAAGACCTTTCTATCTGAAGTCATGGTTCTTTAACTCTGGGAGCACTATTCCTGTTTATTTGCTTCTCTCTGTTTTCTGTGTTCTCAACCTAAAATTCTTATTGATGGACATTGGCCCTTCTTAGCGGGTCACCTCTGTCTTTCAACCTTTTTCTCACTCATCAACGTTTTCTCCCTTGTTCTACATTTTGCAAGATTTCCTTGACTTTTTCTTCTAGCCCATGCTTTTTTATTTTAGAATTATAGTTTTAAAACATACTATTTTTTGCTTTTACAGTCACCTGTTAGTATTTTATAGATGCTATCACTTTAGATTTCTTTCACAATATTAATCTGAACTTTTAAAAAGTTATCTCTATTCCATGAACTATCTGTGTTTCTTCTAGGGTACATTTTTTTTTATTCATTTTGAACCTGCTAGTTTTATTCAAACATCTTATGATCCTTGGTTGTCCTTTCATGCTTATGAATATTAAGAAGCAGGTCAGTTACTTTTGTTCCTTTCTGTTACTTTCTCAATCTGTTCAGGCTGTTAGAATACAACAGACTGGGTGACTTATAAAGGACAGAAATGTGTTTCTTACAGTTCTGGATGCTAGAAATTCAAAATCAATGTGCTGGTAGATTTCATGTCCAGTGAGGGCCCACTTCCTTGTTCTGGTTGTGTCTTCATATGATGGAAGCAACAAGGTAGCTCTCTGGGGCCTCTTTTATAAGGGCACTAATCCTATTCATGAGGGCTGTGTTATGATCTAATTGTTTCCCAAAGGCCCCACCTCCTAACTCTGGGGCATGTCTCACCATATTGGCTGGGCTGATATTGAACTCCTGGCCTCAAGCAATCCACCTGCCTCGGCCTCCCAAAATGTTAGGATTACGGGAGTTAACCACCATGCCCAGCCCATGTTACATTTCCACTGGGCAACTGTGCTCTGGAATCTTACCCTAACCAATCAAGGACCTGCATGAACCATGGTTAGCCACCTCCCTAACCTCATCTCCTTGTTCTCAGTCTTCCCTTGGCTTATCCTGCCCAGTCACACCAGGTAAACTCTAATTTTGCCTTAGATATCCCCAGATAATAATTTGAGCACCTCTAGGTTACATGAGTCCTGTAAGAAATGATTTAGTGCAACATTGCTCTGTTTCCTGACCACAGCTGTTACACTACTTGACTCAAATATTGGACCAAAGAGAGGGTTGGGACCCAGTCTGTTGGTTGGGATGGATGTTGTAACTTGGGAGCCATGTTTTTTTTCTACCTAGCAAGAAAGCCCTTCCACAGTAAGTTAATAATGCAGCCAAGCTGCTCAAAGAACCAGACATAAGAGCCAGAGGGAACATCCCACCTGTGTTCAAAGCCCTGGTTCTCCCTATTCTGAAGTTAGGACACTTTCCTCTCCTTGAGTTCTGGGCCTCTCTTTATATGCTTTATGATAAATCCTGCTTTGGGCTTAAACTAGGTGGTGCTGGATTTCTATTGCTAACAACAAAAGAGCTTTAAGAAAGACAATATTAGTCAAGCCTTTTTTCTTCGAGTAATACCCCATTTTTAATTTTTACAAAGCAACAAAAATTCTGAAGTAAAGTGAGAAAAAGCTCAATAATAGGCAAGCTTGACTGGTTTAATCCTAATCTTGAGAAGTTTAGAATAGAGTGCAGTTCAAGTGAGATTTAAGCATTTTAAGTCTTTCTCTGGGACAAAAGCCTTAAAACACTTTTGACAGAGGCAACTCCAAATTCAGCCACAACACAATTAAGCTCCCCGCCACCCACCCCCACCCCAGGAGACAGCTCTTTTAGATGCTCAAATTACCAACACAAACAGCATGCCTCAGTTTAATTTCTGCAAGTCACAAAAGACTAGCACTGTTAACTCAAATCTCTACAATTTTCAATAAATTGTATAGTGGGCTGGGATTCAATGTATTCTCAGCGACCCACAATGCAAGAACTTCCTTCTGCAGTTATATAAAAGGACTTAATTAGAGCTATAGCCTAGAGATCAGGTTTTCTGAGCTGTATGTACACAATGAATGAGACAGACACCCTCGCCCACTTGCCCTTTTTTAATGTGATTTTTATAAATGTTCATGCTCTAAATAAACTGGTGTTAAAGTTCTAGAAAATTATATAATGAATTAAGATTGCACTACCTCAGCCCTAAATATCTCGAATTCATTCCTCTCTAGAAAAACATGTTTAATTCTCATTCAAGAACCAAAGGCTACAGAACAAAAGTCTCTGAAAAATAGGGGAGAAAAAAAGAGCCAAAGGCCTTTGAGGAACAAAGTGCCTCTCTTCGTATTTGCGTCTGTCTTTACAATTGCACAACCTCAATGATCGAGATACTCAGATAAATAAGCAACAAAAGCAGAAGAGTTGCAAAAGTGGGAAACACATTCAGGTTCTGCAACTGGCAACATCAGTAATACACATGGATTGTAAGCACAACAGTAATAGAAGATGATATAGGAAGACATGCCCCTTGCTCCCCGTTGCCTTCCACCATGATTGTAAGTTTACTGAGGCCTCCCAAGCCATGCGGAACTATGAATCAATTAAATCTCTTTTCCTTATAAATTACCCAGTTTCAGGTAGTTCTTTATAGCAGTGTAGAAACAGACTAATATAGAAAATTGGTAACAGGAGTGGGGTACTGCTATAAAGATACCTAAAAATGTGGAAGTCACTTTGGAACTGGATAATAGGCAGAGGTTGGAAGAGTTTGGAGGGCTCAGAAAAAGACAGGAAGATGTGGGAAAGTTCGGAACGTCCTAGAGATTTGTTGAATGGTTTTGACCAAAATGCTGATAGTATGATATATGGACAATGAAGTCCAGGCTGAGTTAGTCTCAGATGGAGATGAGGAACTTATTGAGAACTAGAACAAAGGCCACTCTTGCTATGCCTTAGCAAAGAGACTGGTGGCATTTTGCCCCTGCCCTAGAGATCTGTGGAACTTTGAACTTGAAAGAGATGATTTAGGGTATCTGGCAGAAGAAATTTCCAAGCAGCAAAGCATTCAAGATTTGACCTAGCTTTTTCTGAAAGCATACAGTCATATGCGTTCACAAATGGATGGTCTGAAATTGGAACTTATGCTTAAAACAGAAGCAGAGCATAAAAGTTTGGAAAATTTGCAGCCTAACCATGTGGTAGAAAAGAAAAACCCATTTTGTGGGGAGAAATTCAAGCCACTGGCAATAAAAATTTGCATAAGTAAAGAGAGGTCAAATGTTAATAGCCAAGACAATGAGGAAAATTTCTCCAGGGTATTTCAGAGATCCTCACAGCTGCCCCCCCTCCATCACAGGCCCAGAGGCCTAGGAGGGAAAAATGGCTTCATGGGCTGGGCCCAGGACCCTGTTTCTCTGTGCAGCCTCAAGACATGGTACCCTGCATCCTAGCCACTCTAGCTCCAGCCATGGCTAAAAAGGATCAAGGTAGAGTTTGGGTCATTGCTTCAGAGGGAACAAGCCCCAAGCCTTGGAAGCTTCCATGTGGTGTTGGTCCTGTGGGTGCACAGAAGACAAGAGTCAAGCTTTGGGAGTC